ACGATATTGCCCCGATTTCTCCGATCCGAGGCCAATATTGGCGCAATACTGTGTGCTGCCTGGGGTTATCCGCACGCCGCAGTAAGCACGCCGCCTGACAGCCACGCCATCCGCGCCTCCGGATCTCCTGAAGAAGCGACGATCGCTTCTCGCAGTGCTGCCTTGGATCCAACATGGCTGCCCCCGGAGCACCATTGCAATACTCTGCTACGCAAGCGGAGCATATTCAGCTTCTCTAGCTGGGATGGCATCTAAGGTCCGCTGCGGTCCATCGTGAATGGGTGACTTTAACTAAAGAAAAAAAAAAAAAGAAATACGTTTACAACTCCCTGTACTGCGGAATTAGAGGGAGGAGGAGGAGGGTATACCCCTCCTCCTCCGCGCCCTCATCCCCTCTTCCTGCTCCCCCTCCCCTCCTCCTCCTCCCTCCCCCTCGTGACATCACTCGTGAAGGCCTCGGAGTCGTGACCTGCGAAGGTCTTGACCTTTGTCGCAACCTTCACGAGTGACCTTCGTGACGTCACACGTGACGTCACGTGTGACGTTATTATGGGAGACGTCCCATAATGAAACGCGCGGTTACGAGTGACGTCACACGTGACCATTGTGACCCTCGTGACGTCACACGTGACCATTGTGACCCTCGTGACGTCACGTATGACGTCATTATGGGAAACGTTTCATAATGCAACTCGCGATTACGCCGACGGGCGCCTAAACCGGAAACGGGCGCCTAAAGCGTCTGTTACATTCCGACGTCGAGCGTAGCAAACGCGGCGTAGCGCAGCGTACAGAGCTTTCTATTGGTTACAGCTATCAAGTTCCTTCTTGCCGGCCAATCAAAGGCCTACTTTCTGCGCTTCGCTACCTTCGCTGTGCTCAACGTCGGAGTATAACAGAGCCTTTAGAGTTGCGCTCCAAAAGTAACCTCGCGTAAAATCTTCAGATATGTAGACTTTAATCTTCCTCTGTAATGCACACTTTGATCTTGCCTAAGACTCAAACAACTGAGTCCCACTTCTGACACCATGCGACGTCCGCCGTCTCACTCGCGTAGTTTTACGACTCAGTCGTTTGAGTCAACGAGTTTTTTCTTATTCATTCATTTATATTGAGTGGCCCACGAACAGCCTGACGCCTTTTCAGTGGTGCACTTTCCAGATTAGTATGTAACAGCAGATCAAAAATATGAATAGGTAAAGAAACTTTAGAACAACACAGTTTAATTAACAGAACTTCTAAATCTATCCGCGTCATGAAAAATATCAAGGCTACTATTTCGCAGCAATCTATTCATAGTCGTTATGTGCTAATTATAGCAGAGTCATCCGTTCTGCTTTATGAAAATCAGAAGGGTAAAACATTGAATGCGATCTGCAAGAAAATTGAGGAGCGCGTGGGTAAATGCAACAAAGTAGTACAGATGAACCAAATATTCCATTCGCGACCTTGTGCAGAAACTTCAAATCATGTCTCATTCTTCTGTTACGCAATGTATCCAGTTGCATCAGTCTGCATATTCGCGCACTATTTGTAGCAATCTAAATAAAAGTAGCGATCATAAAGTACACGAATGAATTTTCTTTGAACACGCCTGATGATACATTAATTTGTAACTCCAATACAATTCCACACTGCCGAGGCGTATTCAATACGATAACGCACGAGTGAGCAAAACAAATGTAAAAAGCAAAGTGAATTCGAAAAATTTATGTTACACGTGTAATGGCTCCCAAGACTTTAGATGATGCATTCGTTATAGCAATGACAGGGTGGATAAAATTAAATACAGGATTCACACACACTCCCAGATCTCGATTCACAGAAATACAAGCGATAGCGTTGTCGTCTAACGTGCAAGAAGAGTTCACAATATCGCGCTTTCTCGAAAATTACATAATTTCTGTCTTCATCTCATTCAAAACAAGGCCATTCAGAGAACACCACGCCGAAATTGAATTTACATCACGCTGTAGACGCTCCCAGTCCTTTACCGTATTAACCACACTAAACAACTTAATGTCGTCAGCAAATAACAGTAATTGCGCATGCTTAATGGCGGAAGATATATCATTCACGAAAATTAAAAACAACAAAGGACCAATATTGTAGCCTTGTGGAATGCCCGAAGAAGATAAAAAAGGAGCTGGTAAGCAGCTCGGCACTCGCACAAAATATACCTGGTGAGATAAATCTTTCAAAAAGCCGACAGTACTTAGAACACAGACCGTAGATGCAGAGCTTTCTCAGAAGTAGCTTATGATTTATTTTACCGAATGCTTCATATCAAAGTACACGACATCTGCGTGGCTTTGGCTACGTACAAATGGTACGACATGATTCAAGAAGGAGCACAGCTTGGTCTCCGGAGATCGGCCTTTCATAAAACCGTACTGTTCTGGAATAATCTTCTGACAAAAATACGTATAAAGGCCAGTATACAAAACAATTTTGAAAACTTTTGATATACTGAACTCTGATATACTACAGGCGGATAATTATCAACCGTCGAACGGTTGCTCGATTTATGCAACGGAACCACAACAGATCGTTTCCAAGCGGCAGAAAAAATTCCAGACTCAATTGAGAAATTAAAGATGTGTGAAGAAGCACTGCACAAAGTAGTTGAGTACAACCTTTCACTATAAAATTAGGAATTCCATCCGCTCCTCCAGACAACTTCGGTTTCGATTTTCTAGTGGCCTTCAATACTTTACTTTCATTTAGTGGAGCGAGAAACAATGAATTTGTGCAGTTTGTATTCGAGCAGGGCAATGGGCAATCGTTAGTATTGAAACAAGAGCTAAAGTGCTTCGAAAAACGATTTGTTATATCTACCGGATCCGAATAAAAATATTCGCCATCTTGCAGTGTGATAGTAGCAACATTATCTTCCGTGCTCTCCGTGACATATTTCCATAGGCACTGCGGCCGTGTGCTCAACGATATCTCCGTAATGTTATCGCGCTCTCGCTTATCTTGCTCAAGCATTATTTTCGCCAATGCTTGACACTAACTATATTTTTATACCAATCTGATAATCCAGTTTTCCGATAAAGGCGATGATCGTGTAGTTCGTGTTTAACCAATGCCTAAGTTGCTTTGTGAACCATGGGGATAGTTAGATTTGCGGGATACCTTCTTTGGTATAAACAATTCTATGCTTTCCTTAATGATACCGGAAAGTTTATCCGTAGATGACTCGGCGCATCGATCCTTTAGAACACCACTCCAGTCATAGTCCCGAAGATGCTGATACAAGGAATAGGTAGCCACCAAGGGGGGGGGGGGGGGGGGGGGGGGGAGGAGACCGGTGGCCGAGTGGGCTAAAGCGCACACCCAGCTCGACGCGCGTGGAGCGAAAGCTCGCGCTGCAGAACCCAGGGATCCTGGGCTCGAGCCCCGCCCCTGCCCGTTTCGATCTGGATGAGCATCGTACCGGCGTGCGGTCGTGTATCACGACTGCGTGGTGCACGTTAAAGACCCCAGGCTAGCGGTTGTACTGCACTGGCTAAATTGCTCATCTACAGCGTGTGACTCGTCGCAACTTTAATGGCTGACCAACTACACGCTGTATAAATATCGCCATAACCCAATAATCTTTTGGTAGCCACCACTGTCAATGAAAAAATTCGCTTGTCCACTGGGAAGGAAAATGATACAATAAATGGCTGATGATAATCATCCACTCGTAATAGCGGTTGCTCTGCAAGTCTGACATCGACCAAAGAAGTGACCAGAGTAAGGTCAAGTATATTGCTGTAGCGATTTTGAATTTATTTTTCTTTATTTCTGTTTTTATAACCTATACATAGTTAAAGATGATTTCTTCTGCATACTTTCTTTCCAGATTTCTCTCTCTCTCCATGCTTCCTTAACTCTGTTTTCTACTGAATTCGTTTCACTGCCCGCCTGTAGAAATTTATTTCCGAGCTTTCGAGTTCGTTTCGTTCAATTTTTGTTCAAGCTTTTCATGCATTTTTACTTATATACCCTAGCTGCCCACCTCATCTGCTTCATATCAGTTAGCCTTTGGTCAAGCTTTACTTGTTGCCTCTCTGCTCTCAAGGGATGCCCAACCCATATTCCCTGTACTTCTTCATTTGGTGTGTTACCATGTCCCCAAAAGCTAACCTGCCTACACTCTTTGCCTTACCTCTAAGCTTGAATGTACTTCAGATTTGATACACAAGGCTGCATTACCGAAAGTCAACCCTGGTATTATTGCTCCTTTCCATACCCCCCTCACAACTTCGTATTTATTAAAGTTCCGAAGTGCTTTGTGTTTGATAATAGCTGAATTTCTTTTCCCCTTCTTTATTACAATATCTTAATGTTTCAGATATTTTCTTCCCTCATTTAACCATGCACCCAGATATTTGTGCTTACGTATATGTTCTATCACAGCGTCTTGCATCTCCAGAGTTTCTCCCTTCGCGTCGTTATGAACTAGTATTCCAGACTTGTTCCTACTGAAGTTTAGCCCTAAAGTGTCCCCTTCCCCGCTGCAAATTCTAATTAGTCTCTGCTTTGTCTCTCGACACTCTGCTACAAGTACCATGTCGTCTGCATGTAAGTCAGATCTAATTCTAAATTGCATTGCTCTAATCTTTTTCTCCATTTCAGTAATGTATATCACAAAGAGCAGGGGAGATAATGGGCAGCCCTCCTTAAGTACTATTTTTATTGCGTACTTTAAGATTAGGCGCAACGTTGCCCAATGAAACGATAAAATAAAAACACAGATTATTAGCCACGACCCCAGCAGCTCAAAATGGGCTCCCAATGTGGGAGCAATAAGCACCCAACTTCTCAGCTTCGTGGGGGTCTCTACTGGAATTCGCAACGTTATCAATAGTGATCTTCCCCAAATCCCAAATGGGTTCGTCTTGTGGAGCTTCCACTTGGGAGCCTGTGCTTGAGCACATTTTGCCAAAAGCAATCCTAACAATATCTTAATATCTCTGAATATCATTCTATATCTGGAAAAGTTCACTCACCACCAGTCCCTGTAGAACTCCCTGTCGGCAAACCTGAGCACCTCAGCCGTCATGTTGAGCGTTGAATGAAAGAACCAGTAGAAGATCACAAGCCAGATGAAGATGTTAATCACCTGGACGCCAACAACAGAAAATGATGTTGGCTTGTCAGTGGACGCGTACACGTTCTTTAAACAGATTAAACCGAACTTTCATGTTCACTTTTTCAACTAGTAACTGGGTGAATTACTCTGTGCAGCACTTGAAAATAAACCTTTACCACCAACCCTAATTCCGTACTAAATGCTACAACAGCGATAAACGTGGACAAAGGCTGCCCTGCCGATCCTTGGCTGTTTTCGGTGGTTCGAGACTTACGAACAAGGAACGGTAAGAGCAAGAGGACAGGCGAGGTTATGGAAGTCAGACATCGGATTTCAAGATTTGTGAACCCCGAAAGGAGGACGCATAAAGAACAAACAATATAACACTCTTTAATGCTGTCTATAAGGTGAATGTTTCTGCCATTTGTGCCGGAAACCTCTCGGATTTCAAGCTGTTTGATTAACATAAGCTCTTGAAAGGCCCTAAAAACTAAACGATAAGTTCTATTGCGTTACACTAGCTAATTGTGAAAAACGTAAGAGACCGGAACTGGAAATTACCCTTACAAAAATGAACAATAAGTTTGAATTGAGCTTCTAATGTGTTTTTATAGTCAAATGAAACTCAACGTTAAATGAGTTTTATCATTACAAAACTAATATTTATTATTTTGAATTTAGTCATTACACATTCAAATGAGTGTTATCATTACCCACTCAATATCTATTCTTTTGAATTTACTCATTACAAATTCAAGTGAGGTTTATCGTTACCCAATCAATATCAATTCTTTTGAGTTTACTCATTAAATATTGGAATGAGTGTTATCACTAAGAACACAATATCCATTCTTTTGACTTTACTCATTACAAATTCCAACGAGTTTTATTGTTACCCAGTCAATATCAATTCCTTTTGAGTTTATAAATGTACTGATTACTCATGGAAACGAGTATTATCATTAGGTATGCAATATCCCTTCTTTTGAGTTTATCCAAAGGCACTCAAGTGAGTTCTACCATAAGGCACCCAAGAGACATCAGCTGATCCACAGCGGAGGAATTCGATAAAGGCAAAGGTGAAGACAATCATGAATGCAGATTACCTGCTATTCAGAAGACATCCTCCTCAAATAAAGTCATGTTCAAAATTGCGATCCAATAACTTCTCATATTTATTAACCATTTATTAACCCTTCTATGAAATCAAAACATATTCAATTATTCCCATTCTCAACTACCACACTGTCTCGGGCGATCAAAATCATAGAGTTATTATAATGTACGCTAGAGGTTCAAGTGGCGCTAGTGTGCTGACGCAAATTGAAGCAGACAGCAACCAGTCGAAAATTGACTTCCGGTAATGCATTTCTGTGGGAAAAAGTGAGTGCATTTTCTCTCTGCGCCCGATCATAAGAGCAAATATCCCGAATAATTCGTACGTACTAGGTAGTTTGGAACATTTCTCAGTCAGGCCGACGAAAGAATTGGTCAGTTACGGCGTTTTTCTTTCGAATTCATCGCATTAAAAACGGTGCTAAAACGGCTTCGTACGTGTATTTATGTGCACTGTCGGACACTGTTAGCGCGAACGCGGCGTCGGCAATTTCCTGCATGGGGGATATACATGCCAAACGAACGGAGGACCTCTGGAAAATCAAGAGCGGCGGCAAGAACTGCGCAGTAACACTAGATCAGTAACTCGCAGTGCATGTACAATCAAAATAAATTGAAGGCCACGTAATCTATTCCGATTTTAAATAAGTACCGCTTCCTGAGCGAAGCTGCTTGTACGTTCAAAATATCACCCGCGCGCTCGATATCTTTGAGAATAAGTGCGCGATAAAAGCTGCCCGACAGAGAAAACAATACGAAGAGACACCTTTCATAGCCCACGAACTTTATTATCCACGTTTTGAAGGTTTTTATCCGCTCATGCACGACGGGATCATTTTCATATAGTGACAGGACTGGTATATTATCAATATACAATCGTCACCGGAATGCTGGCGAGTCTTGAACCCACTCTATATTTGTTTCGATTGTAATTTTGCTTTGAATAGTCGCTTGTTTTTACACACCAGCTGCGGAAAGCACGTTTAGAACTGAAATGTAGCGAAGTTAAACATCGTTCACTGATGAAGAAAAATGCGCAAACTAAAGCAATTACACTTTCACAGTGTTAATCAAGGTACATACTATTCGGTACGACCCCAATAACCAAAGTGTTCCGTGTTATTTTCCGGCGAAGAGGAAAAATGCATGCGCGTTTTCCCATAGGAATGCACAGGAGCACCGCAAAAGTAGACTGGTTGCTGTCTGCTTCAATTTGCGTCACGGAAGTCGCATAGACACTAGCGCCAGTTGAACCTCTAGCGTACGTTATAATAACTCTATGATCAAAATGACACAGCGATAGACATAATGACTCAATATACAGAATCTGCTCCCAAACTTCCCTACGCGCGCAATCCACTAAATTATAAAATATATTCTGCCACGACCCCGCCCCCTCCTCCATTCGCATTTGGCTAGACCGCAAGTCTTACCATCTCAGTGCATAAGCAGTAACATATCGAAATTGACTCTGAAATTTAGTTTCTCAGGTAATACAGGTAATTTTCACAAATTTAAAAACATTGAAAAAAAAAAAAGAAGAAAGAAACAAGCCAGCAGTTGTTTTGCGAAACTCCGCTAGATCAGTCATGACACTCCTGGGGTTCGCGCCTCACAGTTTGGGAAGCACTGCTGTTTAATATTAAAAATACAGAGTGCTGCTAAGAACATTTTTCAAAACATTTATAAGTAGCAACTGTTGACCTAATACCGGGCAAAACTTTAGACCAACTCTCACACAATCTCACAGAAACATAATCACAAATTTACACAGAATAAAAAAAAGTGAAAGCCGTTTACAACTCCCTGTAACACCGAATTAGAGCGCAGCTCTTGAGGAGGAGGAGGGAAGGGTACTGGGGGGGGGTGAAGTGTCCAGGGGGGGAGTCACGTGACCTTGGAGGGTCACGTAACGATGCCGATGATGTCATCAGTGACGTCACTGATGACGTCATCAGTGACGATGACGATGCGGACTCCGATGACATCATCAGCGATGATGACGATGCGGATGTCGGTGACGTCATCAGGGTGGTCACGTGACCTCGGCGGGGGGGTCACGTGACCCGGGGGGTGGTCACGTGACTTTGGGGGGGGTGTCGCGTGACTTCGGGGGGGGGGGGGGTCACGTGACCTCGGGGGTCACGTGGCTTTGGGTGTCACGTGACCTTGGGGGTCACGTGACCCTGGGGGAGGGGTCACGTGACCTCTGGGGGTCATGTGACCTTGGGGGGCCGCGTGACCTTGGGGTGACCTTGGTTACGCCGACGGCGACGCCGACGCCGGCACCGCTCAAGCCGGGAACGGGCCCCTAAGAGCTGCGCTCTAAAAACCAGTAAGAATAAGACGAAATACACTCTAAGCTGATTAATTAACTCTGAGCTGTCATTTTGTTTTAATTGAATACACATGAAAATAAAAGAGGAATAGGAATGCCAATAGGTATATCTTTTGGTCCTATGGGAGGTTGGACTGCTTCCATAGGGACTTTATCGGAGTCGGACCATTAGAAATTTTTACCTGTCAAACGAAATGTTTTGTTGGCGAAAGAGGAATGTCTAGGCCAATTGTGCATGTATATTTGAGCAATAGGAACCAATTAGACGTATGTCTGTCAGAACGATGTAAATGCATATTGGACGCAACAATTGAGAATCGGATCAATGGGACCATGTTTCTGTGCTTTTGGAAAGTTGTGTCTGGACGAAGCTGATATATTTGTCAGACATCCCATTGAGGTAAAAATAGTCCCTGTCAGAAATACACCGGCCCATTTGATGTAAGTGTTATGTAGCCTGGGCTGTATGATGAAAATATCTGTTCCACGTCCAAAGAATATGTTGCTAGAATTCCAGCATGCATAAAAGTACATTATTCAAGTTAATTGTGCGAAAGTGTTACGCTTATTTTTCAATACTTTCGGATGGCAAAAATGATTTCAGCCCAGGTTACATAACACATCATCGTTGTACATCAATGGGGTTATGAACGTTCAAAGAGTTTCGTAGCTCGAAATTAATGCTAGAATCAAATACTCAGATACAGTCACAATTTAGAGGAAAATACCCTATTGCAATGCTTGCTTTTCAGAAGGCATTTTGGGGCCATACTCTAAATAAGACTTAGGAGCATGGTGCGGCAAAATAATTTACTAATAAAATAATGTAAGCTGAGCGTAAATTAAAAGTAAACTCCACAAAAAAATAAAAATAAATCTACTCCCTACTGCATTGCACCCGAAACAAATAGCGCGTCGGTGCATGTCCTGATTTACACATTTATTTCCTGTGCTTATAATAATAACTGTATTCACCCTCTTTTACTCCTAAGTTTCTAAAGACATATTTACGGCGCCCCTCTATCGCGATTTGGTCAGTTTCGGTTTCGGTATTGTAACTTTTATTGGTTTCGGTTTCGTAATAAAAGGATGGCGTCTTCGACGCCCCATCGGTAGCGACACCAGTTCTTTGTTTTTTCTTTTTCCGGCATGGTTTTGCCAGTTTTGCCAGGCTCACGCAGCCAGCGGCGTTCAAGGAAGCCTCGGTAGAGGCCGCCAAGAGTCAGGATGACGTCACGATGACGTCAAATATGTTGATCACCCACTCCGGCCACTAGGACGGGTACAGCCGTTAACATCTGTGTTACTTTGGGGCGCACTTTCTGCGCTCAAGCGTAGGCTTCTTGTTTCCACCGCCTCAAAATATGGCGTTACGATCAACATTGCCGCTGGGCCGGTGGCCATGGCAACGGCGCAACCGGTGCCACCGGTGCAACGGTCGCCGACATCCGATGAGCGTGATCGTCTGCTCCGAGTTGTCTGCGGAAAGCGTGGTGTTCGCTCGGTCCGCGCTAATTTGACTTCTAAAGTTCTGGTGCTCTTGGAAGAGGATACCTTGGCGCTACTACCCTGCGAA